CTGGGCAGGCTGCCGTCGAGCGACGAGCCATGCTGGCTCGTCGCAGGCGATGAGGTCGAGGAGCCGATCGGAGCGTCGCAGAGGCTGCCGACCACTGCCGTTCGCCCTCGGGCCCAGGGGTGGAAGGCAAGCTTCCTGGCGTTTCTGGCGAGCGTCCAGACGTCGCAGAGCATCCGACAGGCGCGCAGCGACCCAAATTTTTGCTCACCGCACGGCCGTGCGAGCCGTTGGTCGGTGGTGATGGTCGGCGTCGGCGCGCGCCGACCGACGCGGCGGCGGTGGGCTTCATGTGGCGCGTTTTGGGACCAGACATTGTCCGAATTTCGGCGGTCCGGCTTTCCACCGCTCCTTTCTGACGGCCAACCGTCAGTGACGGAGTTGTCCCTTCTCCGATTGGCCGGGGGGGCCCCGGCTAGTTCACGGGCTTCGTTCGCGGGAGTGATCCCATGCGTCAAACCCGAGACCTATATCCAAGTTGCTCCTTCCTTGCGTCACGAACGAGCTACCAGTGGATGTACGCGCGCCTTGTGGGGGGGGTGGGGTTGGTCTGGGTGGTGGGGGAGAATTTTGCTACAACTCCCTCTCACGCACGCACGCACGACTGGGCACGGGACTGGCGCGCACTGGCACTAACACAGGTACATCTCGAAGTGTGGGTGGGGGCGTGCGGAGAGAGATTTTTATTAACCAACAATTTCTTGGCGTGCGTGGGGGGGAGAAGAACGAACAGCCCAGATGCGGGACATCTCCCCACATCTCCTCATATCTCCCCATATCTCCCCATATCTCGATCACCAGCGTTGCGAGGCCAGCCAGAGACGCAGAGAGCCACGCCGCAGACAGATCTGCAAGCAAGCATGCCAGTTAGCGACCGGTTGAGGCTAATCCGAGATGCGGCCGAGGCTAATCCGAGATGCGGCCGAGCGGCAGTAGAGAGCACTCCACCGCCATACCGTTTTTATGACACCCGTGGACAAAAGAAAACCGATAACCCATCAACGGTACAAAAGAAGTCGCCGCTTCGGTGTCGGCCGCCGATGAAGGTCTCGATCGACGTATTGAAGGTGCCAGGCCTCACAGGCTGGCTACCACCGCTTCCACTCGCCGTGTCTGTTCCCGCGGAGGCGACGATACGCGACCTGACGAGGCTCGCGCAGGTTGCACTGCGCGCCGCTGGCGCGGGCGGCGCACGCGTCTCACTCGTGATGAGCCCTTCCCGGGAGGGCGTGCTGCCGCCCCAGGCGGGAGTTGCCGAGATGCTAGGGACCGCCGACGCCAAGGCGGTCATCCTAGCAGACATCCCGGGCGCGTCAAAGGCCGCCGCGCCGCCGAAGGAGGAGCACTGCCACAGCCACGGCCACTCGCACTCCGACGGCGACTCGGGGACGAAGCGGGCAGACGGCAAGCTTCCCATCACCGTTCTCACCGGCTTCCTCGGCGCGGGCAAGACCACCCTCCTCAACCACCTGCTGCAGACGCAGCGCGAGCTCAAGGTTGCCGTCATCGAGAACGAGTTTGGCGAGGTGCCGATCGACAACGAGCTGCTCGCGCAAAACAAGCTGGCGGCCGCCGAGCAGGTGGTGGTGATGGACAACGGCTGCATGTGCTGCTCGGTCCGCGGGGACATCCTCGGCGCCTTCACCTCCATCATCGACGCGGTCGACTCTGGCAACGGCCTCGACGCAGTCATCATCGAGACGACGGGGATGGCCGACCCGGTTCCTATCGTGCGCACGCTGCTCCAGACGCCGGTCATCGCCAGCCGCTTCGCGCTCGCGGGCGTGGTGACGCTAGTCGACG